AATATTTTTAAGTGCATCCATACAACAAAAAGCCTGTAGGCTATGCCAATATTAATAATGAAAGTAAGAAAATTCAATACACTGTGCTTTTCAATGATTATACAGTAACAATGTACTTTCAAATTACAAAGACATCTCAAGATTCTTCTCTTCAAGGCATTTAAGTTCAGTTATTTGTAGTACCTCTGCAAGTGAAGCCATCTCCATAATAACCGTAAGGACAATGACCACACTTAATGCTTCCATCCTGATTTGGCTCACAGCGTACACCAGGAAAACAGGGTAAATCAGTACAGCTTATTGCCTTAGGAATCACTGCTTCACTCAATTCTTCAGGAAGCATTTCTGGTAGGACAGTATCTTCAACAAGGGCAAAAGGTAAATTACTTGCTGTATGCTTGGCTAACAGGTGCAGAACTCTCTGAGCACTGCCACCTTTGAATGCTTTGCTTGGCAAAGAAAGTTCTTTGCTTATATTTGCTCTGCTGCTAGGAGAAGTCTTTCTGCTACTCTCGAAATAGCTGTAGGCCTCAACTCGTTCCCTTGCTTTCTTCTCAGATGATACAGCATGGCTTTCTGAAGATGCAGTCATCACAGCATGTACTGAAGAACCCACTTCCATGTCAGCAAGGTGACCACTGATGAGAGTGTGAGCAATGTTTCCAGTAACAGCAGGTTGTAAAGAAGCACTTCTCTGAGAATCAAGTGACTTCCAGACAGTGATTGTTTTTACTGTAGAGGCTGGTGGTGTGCTGCTACTGACCACTTCTGTAGAAATAAACCTTTTTGGGACATCTGTAGAACTGGGATTGTAGCTTGAGATGCTCAAAACCTTCTCAAAGGACGACTGTTGAAACCCTGCAGCATGTTAGAAAGAAAGGGGGGGAAAGTATGTGAACACTGACAGACTCTTTTCCTTCTGAGTGCTAGTAGTAAGCTGGGAGTCCAGAAGCAAAGATTTAAGCACAAGTATACAGATGATTTATCTTACTGATGCACCATGGACAATATTCTTGGTGAATAATCCACCACCTTGTTGCAAAAGTATTACTACCGTCTTTTACTCCTCAAACTTTTTAAGCAACTTTCTTAAAGTTTCTGCATGGGTTTTTTTAGTGCATTTTGCCTATGTTTTCTGAGCAACAGAGACTGACTCAGCTTCCTCATTGAAAGGAGTGCAAAATGAATGAAAAGTTGTTCATAATCTGCCCAGGAAAAGTTGGAAGTCTGTGGAAAGGAGTAAGGCACTGTAATCTGAGACTGGTAGAATGCCATATGTGGTCTTTTCGCATTATGGGGTAGAGGAAGAATGAAACCCCCACCCATTTATAACAGTACTAGAAAATGGTCCAGAAAAGGTTAAGCTTTACTGAATTGTATTAGAGTGCTGTCTACCATTGCTGAAAAGCAAACTATTTTGCAGCTGAGGAAGAGTTATCCAGCACTGGCAGTGGAGTGAGAGAGTATCTTCCTTCTCCCTCAACAACAATTCAGAGATAAAGGGAAAAGACACATGAGAATTTCCTGCAAAGAAAGCCCCAGCAGGCACAGACCTGGAAATGCCAGCAACAGCGAGTTTTGGAATAAAGACAGTCACTTGCCACATCTTTCACCTTTCCTCTGATTAAAGCAGAAAAATGGCATTCAACATAATGCCATAAACTTTTGCTTATCTCATATAACAGATGTTCCTATCCCCATGTTACCTATTCTATGTCAGTAGTTAGTCACTAAAACAAAAGGCAACTGTAAGAGTGTCATACATCATACTCTTAATAAAATGACTTGACTGACCTAAGGGATTTGTTGATATTGACATTTCGGTCTCATTTTTCACATCAGAATACAACCCCAGTAATGAATTAAATTGTGTCAAACTGAAAAATTAAACTAACTAACATAAAACTGACTAGGACCTTTGTTTGACAACTCTATTGTTATCAATATGTGAATCAGAAATTCAATTCCCTTTATGAAAAAAATCACCTTTATTCCCTCCAATTTCTCCTGTGGAATCCTGCCTTTCAACATCAGGGTCTTCAGAGCTTTCTAAAAAATATGTGTGAAGGCACATTAATAGTGAACAGATGTAGCTGCATTTGTTTCAACTTTAAATAAATCAAAACAGTTAAAGTTTTAATAGATAGAAACAACTCAAAATTCAGAAAGCAGATAGAAAGTAAAAAATGTTTCTCAAAAGTTTTTAACAGAGTATTTTAAAAATACAAGTTATTCAGTAATTGCATTGTAAATAAATGTTTGGGCACCTTAGTTGGCAAATGCCTTGATTTGGGTAAATAGTTCTGTGCTAATCAATCTAATAGAAAAATATTTTGTCAATAATTTCTCATATTATGAAAATAATGAAGGAAAAAACCCCAAAATTTCACTGTATTCTACTTTGATATAAAAGAATTTTGATGGTTTGTATCTGTTTTTTTTCTTGTCACTATAAAAAGTTTCTTATAGCTATGCAACCCAGTACATTGCCATTACCAGAGACACAGCCCTGTTTTGCTGATTGCTGAAAAGAGTTCTAAGTTACTGTTAGAAACATGAAGCATAATCAAAGATATCTTATCTGAATGACAGTAATATAATACTACTCTTCTAAAAAACAAGTAATTTTACCATAACATGACTTCCCATCTCCTTGTAGATTATTTGGGCATGGACCACAATGGTAAGAACCAAAAGTATTGAAGCAAAATACTCCAGGGAAGCAAGGACTGGATGCACATTCATCTACATCCTCTTGACAATGTTCACCTGCATTAAAATACAGATTCAATTTTTTCCATATTATTATGTCACTTGACTTTGATGGCATATTTATAAAAGTACAATGTATGCAAGTGCTGAAATAGAGAAAAAAGCATGTATCGTTTCAGCACATCTAATAAGAATAGCTGACTAGGTTTGCAATTCATATTTTTTCATCTTATATTAAGTATCTTCCTTATTGCAGAATATGGAGAAGATGGGCTGTGGGAACTACATGTTTATCTGCAGGAGAAATCACACTGTAACCAAACTCATCATTCCTATGTTTCTCCATATTGCCGAGTTTATCTTTGTGAAGAAAAACAATGGAAATTTGCTTTCTTAGTAAACAACCATTGTATTCATGCAAGAAAAATCTTGAAGTATACTATACATTTTTATCACCAGACCACAAAATTTCTTCATAATCTAACAGTAGGCTATTTACGGTCAAAAATTAAAAAATAAAATTGCAGACATAAAATTAGAAACTCCTATTTATCACTAAACGTGATAAATGTGTGTAAATAAAGCAGTAATTTACCTTGAAGTTCAGGTGGACATTCACAGTAATAGCTGTTTATTCCATCCACACATCTGCCAACACCACACTGGTTAAGTCTACAGTCATCAGTATTCCCTTCACAGAGATCACCTTCAAATCCAGCCACACACACACAAAGATATCTTCCACTTCCAGGTGGGAAATTAATGTTTGTCACACATGAGCCATTATTTAGGCAATCACATGATTTTACACTGACCTAAAAGACATGCCCAATAAGACAGTTTTCTATTTTTTTAATGAACTAGCGATGAGTTCTGTAATTAGATATCTTAAACATCTTACTAGTAGGTGTCATTCTACTGTAATATTCATTACCTCTATTTCTACCTTAGTTGTTGCATTGCAATCATCTGTCAAAGAAAATGTTAATTTATGGAGATTCGTTGACACAGCTTTCCACAAAAGGAGACCTGATGGGGAAAGACTGGCACCTTCTGGACCAGAATCCAATGTGAAATGAATAGCAGAGCCCTCTGGATCTGAAGCCAAAAACTGATATACAAAGTCTTCTCCATAAAAAGTCTGTAGCATAACCTGAGAAGTTTCAAGGACTGGAGGTTGGTTGTCTGTAACAAAGGAGATGTTTCCATCTTTTAAGCAAAAGTTACAACATACTTAAAAAAATTAAAAGGACTATATCTTTCTATTAAGGAAGTTACATGCAATTTTTTCTCTTAAATTCTAATGCCATTTGTATGGCACAGAAAAAGCACTTGATATTTTCATTTTAACTAGAGCAACATGACCAAGAAATTAATTCTACTAAGCAAGAGCTTGTAATGCACTGCATCTGTACAACATCAACAAAAAAGAATTTATGGAATTTAACCACTGTATTTTAACTATATGACTATAACATGGAAATCCATTGTCTTCCTGATTGCTGGATGAGTTTCATTTCATTCCTTTATTTCAGGTTTCATTCTTTTGAAATAGGTATAGCTACAATGGCTTTCAGTACAAGTTTGAACTAGGACAAGATTCACCAAGACAGGCACCAGAAGTCCCATTCACACAAGACCATTTCCATTCAAGGCAGAGTCTTGCCAGCACATTCATACACATAAACACCAATGGAAAATACAAAATCTGAGCCAAAAGAACTACAATTTCTAGTCTATAACTTTATGCTATGGAAAAGGAAAATCTTAGGTCTTCTTTTCATAGTGTGGTTTCTAAATGGACTGAAGCATGAAAACTTCAGATATACTTTCAAGTATTTAGGCTTTGTATCTACGCCACTGATGTAGATGATGTCCAAATATTAGGGGGCTAATAAAGATGACGTCATTTGATTCAGTTTGTGATCTCCACCTGTTTGGTATCAGAATAATTTTTTTTAAAATACTTTTTATATCTATATGTTGAAGACAAACATATATGTATGTAGCTTGCTAAATATCAAAAGACTTCAAAGTGCCAATTAAACTGAAAGTTGTTAATTTTCATTAGTTATTTGTAAATAGTTAAAGCTAAACTATCACTATTTCCACAAATATAAAAGCTTGGTAGACTTTCAACTTCTTGGTATTACAGAAGAACTATTTAGAACTTACTTTCAACAACTGACCAAGTTAACTTTGATATGTCAGGTCTGCAGAGTAAGCAAGGGCTGGTCGGATTTGTGTCTCCTTCACCATAACAGAGTCCATCTATGTTGCATGTTTTCTCCTTTTAGAGAAACAAGAATGTGATTCATTAATATTTTTTGTTATCAAATTGGTTATGAATTCGTATAGCATCAAATAAAATCTAATAATTCTGCACTTCCATTAAACAACTAAGCTTGTTTTTAAATCTAATCAACTGACAGTAAGTTTGGTTTTATTTGGTAATTATATGAAGTGCTTTTGGTTTGATTCTTTAAATTTAAAATTGCCTTATCTCAGCTTGTCTTTCTGTGCATATCATTTCTGTGCATAGAAAATCCCTGTTGGAAAGAAGAATGGGGTACATTCTGCTGATTTTTCTACATTTTTTTCCTGCCTGAAAAGATTCATTTTATTCATAATGGAGAGTAGTGAAACACATACCTTTAATGTACATAACCCAGATTCTTGTGATTCACATGTCTGACAGGCTCCATCATATAATATCATTGTTTTAGAGTTGCTATAGACGAATCCATCATTAGAAATCTGCAAGGTGTACAGCAAAAATGGATTAACCAATACAGGTATCAATAGATCATCAGTGTGGGCTGCTGACATGAGCTTCCACTTATTAACAGACACCTACATATAGGTATTTAAACTCTCACAACAGTCATCAGAAATCTAATCAAACCTGCCCATAAGTCTAGGCAGATATTTGACCAGCCACATAGTATAAGTTGAATAGTGTATACACTCTCTTGACCTTACTGACTCAATCTCTATGAGAGCTCAGATATCTGCCTCACACAGGGATTAGTACATATAGGCTGGGCTCAATTCAATTCTACCATAAATGTACCCAATGTTATTTGAAATGCTCTAGGGTAACTTCCACTCTTGAAGAACAAGTGTCTCTGTAGGACCTAGGTCATATCTACAGTCCCCTTGAAGGAGAACACTCTCAAATGACACTCAACACTTCAGCTTAGGTGATGAAACTGAGACCTCCAAGTTAGGCAAGCTGAGTTCCACCTTTAGTACCACTGAAAAAGGAGTAACATTTATGTGACATTTTTTCATCTTACTCGGAAGTGAATATTTGAAATTTCTGTAAGTACCTTTATTTGCCACATGGCAATGGGTTCATCATCAACCACATCCATGACATCAGACTGTTGACCATCATTTGGTAATTGGCAGTCGACAGTCCTGGCATTTTGGAAGACAGCTGGCATAGTCAGAAGTTCTCCAGGAATCCACTGTCTATTACTATACTAAACGTTAAGACAGAAAATCTGTTTTTCAGTGAAGCACATCATGAAGATATTTTTATCAGAGAGAAAAAACACATGTATTGTACAGTTTTTGAACAAGTCTAATATGTCTGGATTAGAATGTGGTGGCAAATATTAAATGACATTATTTGCACACACAGATTTTTAGCTAAGCCTGCTACTGTGGAAGAAAGGCAGGGAAGCCTTTGCTGACGCACAGCCCTTTGGCACTGCACTGTCAAGGACAAAGAGTTCTTCCAACTGGAGAGTAATAGGAGGGTTAAACACTGGGTGGTCCTGCAATGGCACCAGTCTGACGTGCAAGCGTCTCTGTCACACTCCATCTCTGCTCCCATGTGAGGACAAGCTTTAGTCGAAGGAACAGATGAGTTTTTTGGCAGAGCTCAGGTATCATCCTAGGTGCTGGGGGAATAGTGGCACTGAGCCTTTTAGCCCTTGTACAAGCCAGTAAATTTTCAATAGAACAAGACACTATTGACCCTGTAGACTTTTCTTCTAAACTGCACTGAAGACAAGTCATGCAAGGATCCACCTTGAGAGCTCAAGATAACAGAATAAGGATGATAATACTGTTTGACAGACGTATTGATGTGGAAGTAGGAATAAGCATATGAAAAATAAATAAAGTTAGATGGAAGTAAGAATCCAGACAGATTAAGAATCAAGAGATCAGAAAGTAAAAATAATTTTGAGTTTGACTAGGTTTTACTGAGCTGGCACATCTTCTAGTTACTGAAGCCAATCAAGACATTTATTCAGTCCCAGTCGTCATACAGGTGTTATCTGCTGTACAGGCCTTTGTGGGGGGTTTTTGTATGTTTTTTTTTTTTTTTTAAAGACAAAAAATTAAACACTTTTGCTAAAAAGACATATGAGCTATCTCTGTTCCAATCACACATTTTGTTTTTCTTTCACCCTGTATTCAGTTAAAGAATTCACAGCAAGGGTAAGTAAAAGTATAAATGTTAAATATTTCTAAATATAAAATTTTGAGTGCACTTAGTACTGTAACCTTTGAAAAGGGATACAGTCTATTTCTCCAGAAATTTTTTGTTATTACCTGGAGGCAAGTTCAGATAATTTTTTCAGAAACAGATTAACCTTTCAAAAACCAATTAAAAAGCCTTCAGATCTACTAGTATTCCAGCTCATTAGGTTCATAGAAAAACTTACTTCTGGGATTCAATGTAAAACAGAAGGAAGTAAGTATTTTCATTTTGCAGAGGTTAAACACACTCTCATGCCTTACATTTAAATTCTGTCTCTCTCTAGTCATAGCTTGCTGGCCATGTCCAACCCAAACCTCTATCAAGTTTCTACCATAAAGTAGGTAAGACAGCCCACGGACAACTGATTTGATCTAAAATTTCAAAAGTGAAAATATTGAAACTAAGAAATTCTAAATTCCATCAAAATGCCTCACCTATAAATTTTAATTATTTAGGTTCAGTCTCAAAATATGGGGAGTTCCACTGCAAGTCCATTGACATTTCCATAAATTCACTATTACTCCAGCCTGAAAAACTAAACAAAACAAAACACCCCCCCACACTTCCTTTCTTCTGTATTCTCAAGGAAAAAATTTGCAGCCTTCTCCTCAACTGCAGCTAACAGCAGTCAGCTGGCTCTTGTCAGTGAAAAGATCATCACTAAAAGTGATTAAATAGAAAGTTTCTGCAGTTGGGAGCCAAGTACATCGCCTAAAAGAGAGATTCCAGAATATCTTGCCACAAGTTAAAACTGAGATATTTCAAACTGTGATAAGTGAATTCCCAATAATTGACTTACTGTGAGAGTGGTCTAAAAGTCTTCCAACCTCATGGAGTGTAAACTTACTCTTGACTATCATTTCAAGCCATCCTGAGTGGATAAATGTTGAGTTTAAGAAAAATCTATAGCCAGCATTGCTTATTCTTATTTTAGCATCTGCTGGAACTAGTTAAGAAAACCTTTTGTCTCAAGAACAAAATCTGCCACTGAATACTTCCCCTTTTGCCAACTCTCACCTCCTCCATCATCACATCAATGAAACACAGTTTTACTTTGAAGTTTTTTTTGTTCTTGCGTATAACACAACAAAAAAACTTGTAATTGCTGATTGCTTATTCCAGGCTAAAACTTGTAAACTGCTTATAAATTTGCCTTGAGCAAATTCTAGGTCTAAATAACAACAGTCTCTCTATACAGATTCCCCTTAGTTTACCATGCAACATTTACCATGCAATTTTTTTAATTTCCTGTTCAAATCTGGGGTATAGAGCTGACGTATACCATTAAATAGCCGTGGTATTCTACCTCAGGGAAACGGACAACACATCAAAAATGCCTCTCTCTTTTCCTAACAGATTTATTATGTTTATAAAGGGCTATTTCAAGCATTAGAATTGAGGCAGAAATCTAGTAATGTCTTTAACCTTGCTGTCCTTTTTCAAAGAAGTGGTACTTGAATTCCTCTCCATAAGCACTTAGAAAACTGAACAACGATGTACTGGTTGTTACTAACAGGGTTGCCCTTGCCCTTTTCCGATGGATAGCTGCTCCATGCTGTTATCTCCCTCTCAGCTGCTGAACATTCCCATTATGTTTTGTATTTCTCTTATCATGGAGGAAATGGCAATCTTGCAAAGAATTCAGTGTCTGCTGCAAAGTGCTGAGAGCCTTTGCTTTTAGCTTTGACTGATGCACTGGGTTGTACCCACATCAATGAATAATATGTTAGACATTTTGTCTCTCGTTCTACAAGAAGTTTAAAATATATTTGTCGCTATTCAGGGAGACCTACTTGCAATTTGATGATTTCACATTTCAGATTCAATGACTCCCTGAAGCCATGTCCAAAAACTCTCACTGATGTGCAGTCATACTGTCGAATATCACACAGCCCCTCATTCTCCAGCTCTGTGATTTCTGGAACCTGGTCTTGGAAGTAGAGATTAGACAATAAATGCCAGTATATTAACTCATTAATATGCATTTACATTAAGTAATACATTTAATTTTCTATCCAACTAAGACAACTATGCAAGCAATGAAATCTAGACCCAGATGAAAAAGGGTATAAACAGAAAGATTTTTTTTTTATTGTTAAAATGAATCTTAAATTTAAAGCTAGGCTTCTGTCTGCACTTAGACCTTGAATATTATGAAGCAGAGAAAATTCAACAGACAACAAAGACTTGTGAATATGTGTTTTGCTTTCTCAACTATGACTCTTTACATCACATTGGCAGAATAAAATCAAAATGAAACTCAGGCCCTAGTAATAGCAACTGGAAAGGTGACAGTTATGTATTAATTTATAATTGGATGTTTTTTAATTAAAGACTAAAAAATATCTCAGGTGGAAGTTATTTCAGGAAATAATGTGACAAATTAGAACACTCAAAAATAGTTTTTATGAAGTAAAGCCATCTTGACTTCAAGAGGAATAAAATATTTCTTTTTATAGAAAGAATACCTCCTTCAATATTTTCTTTTAAGTAGGTCACTAAAACAAAAGCACCACTGCAAAAGAAAATAATAGCAGGTTTTATTTTGACAGAGTTTTGAGTTTTGTAGCAGTGTTCATATTTTTCCAGTGTACTTACTTAACTGAATTTTTAGTGACTGTCTTACTTATTGAAAATTTTTTAAATCCTGCCCAGCTCTATTTACTGTATCTTTTTTCTTTTCTTCACCACTGATTCTAATCCCATCACATTTAATAGTTATCTTACAGAGATGTAACATCACCAAAGGGAAGCACATCCCACTTACAGATCCTGTTAGTAAACAGGATCACACAGACTATAAAAAAATTGGGGGAGGGAGATTTCTGAAGACAGTGTGTGGAAACATTTCCAATCTCTTGGGGCAATCCTCTGGACTGCAAACTGACCAAGTGGTAAACTTTTTAAATCTGAAATACCAGAAAGCAAGCCCATGTTTTGTCCTTTGGAAACAAGAAGGCTGAATGGAAAATAATTAAAGCTGTGGTTACGTGCAAGTAAATTACTGTGTAATGGACAGGGCCACTGGTGGGAACCCTTGTGTGTGTACAAGGCAGGAGAGAAAAATATATGTATGTCGCATGAACACTGAGAAGATTATTTAGGTAAATCACTTTCTTTTCCCCCCACTTACCAGACAGTATGCTGCAGTCATACGAGCTGTAGCCTTGAAAACATGCACAGCCCCATTCTGTACATTCCCCATTACCACTGCAGAGACTGGGACACTTCAATGCAGTTAGCAGGCTCTCAACTGAGCCTTCAAGTTCCTGTGGGTTGTAATTTATTTCTTCTAAAACTCTTCTCTCACATTCATTCTCCAGAAGAGGTAAGGAAGCTTCTGCCCAACGGAGGTCATCTTTCAGTAGCAAATCTTTAACGCACATATCGATTGCATCCTCTGTTCGCCGGCCAAGAAGGGCACCACAAGATCTTCCTATGCTGGAATTAGCTATAGCCTGCTGGCAGAGTAGCCAAGCACTAGACTTGGTGAGGCCTGAAGGTGTGGGCCAAGAAGGAAGGAACTTCTGGTCTGTGTCAGTGGCATGGTCCTCTGGGAAAAAATAACTATATTCCTCTAAGTCTGTTTGGCTGAGACTTTGGAATAGGAATACTGGATGGTATTCATAATAATTCTGACGCTTCCCTCTACTTGTAACTGACAGCCTTTTGAGAGAATGACTACTGTCATGCTGAGAATTTTTTCTAATGCCTGAGCTTGAACTTCCTTCTCTTTCTGTACCAGTATTTCTCACTGAGGTTGCTGAGACATGTGAGTTTACTAATGATGTTTTGTGAAGTTTGGTTTGATTACCCTCCCTCTGCAGAAGTGTAGATGAATCCATTTCATGTGCAGATGAACGTTTCTTTAAGCCTCTGACAAGATCAATAGGACCAAGATACTCAGCAGCAACATCCACTCCTGGTATTAAAGAAAGAAATCTACCATTTTCACTTTCTTTACAAGACAGAGGAAGTTCTGACTGAGAAACTGTCTCCAGTTTGTTCACTGAAGGATATAATCCGTTATCTTCAAGTGCACAGTCACAGAAGACTACTTTTCTCGAAGATGTTAAAGAAGCAGGTGTTTTGTCAAACAAGCTATCTCCTGGTAAAATTCTGGACAAGAAAGAAAAAGATGAAACTGAACTATCTGAACTATCTTCATTGTGTTACTAAAGTATTAACCTTTTGTTCTTTGTTGTTTCATACTTTTACAGCATGTCACTGAATCTGCAGAGCACAGCTATCTTTAAAGACCAGTTAAAACAAAAAAACTTGAGAATAACTTATAATAAAAGAATTGAGATGAGTGGATATCTTCTGTATACTTTGATACTTCAAAACATAATCAAACTAATCTTACATCATAGTACTTAAATACTTATTTGGCACTTCAGTTTCGATTTCCTCTTAAACTAATTAAGGAATGCAGTGATAAGTTCTAATATTAACTTAAAAACTTAAGAAGATTACTTTTTTTTTTAGTATTTTAACAAGTTTTTAAGAGTCTGAAGGAAAGGTAGAACCAAAAATTATGATACTTGATTTAAACAGAATAATTGTTACCTCCACTCCTTAATAAAAGAAAAAGGAACATTAGCATGATTTGGGATTTCCGCCCCACTTGCAGTGTGATAGTCATTCTCTGCAATTCCATCAAAGGTGCCACAGAGTCCCACTGTATGTCTGTAATCTGAGCTGGGAGCCCTAAGCGTTATGCTTATTCCCCATTCGCTCACATCAGCACGAATGAAAGCTCCAGAAGAAAACAAAACCTAAAAAGAGGTTGAAGATATCATCATGAGAAACATGATTTTTAATTTTACCTATTCTGTAAGCAATTATTTACCACTTACTGTTACTTTTCTTCCTAGGTAGGATTCAGTGACTCTGACATTGCTTCCTGTTGTGTCTCTGTTTATTACAGATAAATGTGGCTGTGATTCATGCAGCTGATCATTGCACATGTCAAATGCAATTATATCACTTCCTTCCTTGGCAACAAAGCCACAGTTGCAGGATGCTGGGTAGTGAAGACTTCCACAGTCCCACTGGCGAACATGAACTTCAAAATCTCGAGATGTACTCTTATAGAGAACAAATGTTCCTGTTTTAAAATTGTCATAGACTCTGGAATCAAAAGAATAGCATATGATATCACTTTGGTTATAATCACCACACATCAGCAACTTTATCTTCAGATTTCTAATATTTGGTGAACTTTGATAATGCAACTCATTTTCCTGAGTCAGAAAAAACAAACAATACACCCACAGACCAACACACAACTTATCCTGAGCAAACACCATCATATTTTCCTCTGTGCAGACCTAAACCAAAAAACAAAAAAACCCCTTATTTTTACACCAGAAAAATAAGGAATAAAAGAAGTATCATGAGTGGAGTATATGTACACAATGGTTGTGAATAGAAACATAACCATGAAGCCTTTGACATTCTTTGATTATTTTTTTTAACACTGTGCATGACAGGGAACTGGAGGGTACTTCTCAACCTTTCTGTTTCTACAACAGCACACCTATGCAGAAAGAGCAATAAGATGCACAGCATTGTGCATGGGGGGGCAGCTGCTGAAAACTGCACAAGTACCCTTGACAAAATTACTTTGAAAGTCACATCTTTTTTAAAAAGGTCTGCTTTATTAAGATGGAGATGGGGAGTGCTTATTCCCAAAGATTATTTAAAATGAAAACCATAAATAGTAACTTGCTTTTTTTCCTTAGGGTTGCCATCTGTCCCCTGAAGCAAGGTTAAAATAGCCAATTTAATGATTCAGCAGCAAGAAAGAAAAAGAAGAAAGAATGGAAAGAAACCCCCCAAACTTTTGCTGAGAGTTTAACAGCCTCTTGGCTATAAATGGCATTTGATAGTTAACAGTAGACTGGCAATTTGCTTTGTGTATAATGGGCCAGCAGACAAACTGCAGATGGCTGCCCTACTGGGACTGCATAAGATTGTCCGTGATTCAGTGCAGACAGTTCCTTTTCTACTTGTTTCATCAATTTAATTGTAGTAACATAATTTATCCTTATAGAGAAAGTTCTTTCCCTGCAGCATCATACTTCCCGACAGATCACATCACAGTAAAACACTGCTTCACAAGGAAGCTTGATCACAATGCATCCCCAGTTAAAATGCTCAGTGAAGACATCCCTAAAACTTCTACTGAAGGAGAAACTGCAAGATCAGAATAACTCCATTGACTTTATTAATATTACTAGTCACAGTTCTGTCAGAGAATCAATCACAACCTTCATTTTTCCTTCTGTTATCAAGTTCACAGAAGTGAGGTTTGGTCGGAACATTCTTATTTGGAGGCAACATACCCTCTTCTTCTCACCCTGCCACTTGAAGAAATGTGCTTCTACTGAACAGAGAATATAAAAGTCTCAGGCTTGGAGCATGTATTTGTTCAGACATCTTTTGTGAATCAGAAATACTTTGAAAGAAAGATGCATAGCAAAACCACAACAGCTGTGTCCAAGGGAGCTGTCTTCACTTCAAAAAGAAGGCCAGCGACGTGCAAGTGACAGTACTGAATAAGTACTGTGAATGCCACTATTGCTTTCAATGCCACTAATAAACTCAGCAAAATGCTACACAGACAGTAGATAGCTTCTAGGAACTTGATCCTTGCAAGGATTCAGATACTGACACACAGAAATAGGGAAACTATGCTGTTGACTGGAAACACCTCTGCATCAAAAGTTTTGTCTAATCAATCGTTTTATCATGGTTCATATATGACCATTCCTATTTTTTATAGTCAACAGACTGCACAGCATCCTCTCCTCTCTTGTCAAACAACTCTAGAAAGTAAAATAGTCCATTTGCTTCATTCTCTTGCCACAGCCCCAAAAACTTGCCTTTAGAAATGCAAATATTACAAACATCATCATGATTGGCAAGCTTTTTTTAAAAACTGAAGCACATTTATCCTTATTGTCAAAAATACCCCAAAAAAACTAAACTCAGTGCTGTTACAGAAAACTTCATCTGACTTGTATTACCAGCACAGATTTAAAATAAACATATAAATACTTAAATAAATGAAAGAGCCCACCAAAACCACCCACAAAAAAATGCCCACATGCTTTAAGTTAGGAGCATGAATTCAGTAATTACCTTCCATCAAATGTAATTATATGAGGATCAGTAAATGAGTAGCAGTAGGCTGTGGGTAGATCCTTAACTGTAATCTTCAGAACAAAGTAGCAAATAGTAAGCCATCTCAGATTTAGAAATAAACAGACTCATGTACATAATTTATTTTAGGATAATAATTTACATTCTAATATATATATTATGTTATGCTTTTAATCAAACTGAGTAGTTATATCACTAGTAAAATATATTTAAAAAAATCAAATGAAAACACAGAATTTAAACGAAAATAAAACAAATTAAAATTGACTACTTAGAAATCTTGGTGCGAGTCAGGAAGTCATGACTGAAATAGAAACTTCATTTAAATCAGCCATACTTCTGGCCAGTTAATAGAGCTTAACATGAAGATTTTTAACCTGTATGCTTTCTGGAACATAGCCATCCCACAGGAAATTCTCACTGGATATAGGTTCAACTGCAATTCTGGTAATTCTGTCTCCATCCTTCATGAAGTCTGTCACAGCAGTGAAATAAATTACAGCTTGACTACAGATTCCATTATTGCAGGGTTTCTGGAGAAGATCCACACGACAAGAGGAAAGAGCCAAGTTTAAACCGAGCTGCTCTTTATCTGTTTTAAAGAAAATACATAGTGATTTTTTTCCCCTAAATAAGTCACATGTTTTATACTACTTTTAATATAGATAACTTTTTTACATAGTCTTTCATAAATTAAAATAATTATGCATTTTTCTTGCATTTGGTCATGCAAAACCTCCTCTCTATACCTTCATACACACCTCCAAGAAATTGCTCTCGAATTTCCCTGTTTGATAGACTAATGGAAATCATGATAGGCTTGCTAATGTGACATAAAAATGCCTGTCTGCAATGGCAAGGCTCCTCCTGTTCACAGGACTTGTGCTTGAGAAAGTACTAGAGAAAATGGTAATAATAGTAAAAAATGGGGACTTTGCTATTGCATATCTAGTACTTGGAAAACAACAGGTAAACAAAATGAACTGAATTAAACTTTGCAAGTATTACAGTATTCTGTCTATTCAAGTTAAAGAATGTAGCTCTGATATCAACAGCTGTCAAAGACCACCCAACTTCAACAAGTAATAGGGACACACTCTTCCATACTTTCAGCAGCATCATATACAGCCTGTGAATACTTTAACGTTTTAGAAAGTATTTTACACTGTAATAGCCTCTCCAAGGAAAGATACCAGCAAGAATATTCAGAAAAATATATTAAACATACAAAATGAAACAAAATCAGTTTAATACTTACCTTCATCAACACTATTTAACATTAGTGAGATTTTGCAGTCACTTTCAAGCTGGCTAAACTCAGGACAAGGAATAGGAATGCTACTTTCTATTGTCAGTCTGTATTCCTTCCCATCTTCTGATATATTATACGTTTCTGGACGTATCTAACACAGAAGAAACTCTACTTAAAATGCATCATTTGTGAGTAAACTGAAGCACTGCTTATTAACCAGCTAGGAGTGCTTGTTTACGTGGGCTGAGTAGCAGCAGAACATTGGAGAAAAGATACACTACAGACAGAGTCTTAAAGAGGTGGGAAAAGGGGCAAGGATAAGGAAAAGGCAAGAGTAAAGGCCAGATAGAAAGGTAAGAAACGAACAAACCACATTAACCCCACAAAAAACTCCTGGAACCATGTAACCCCTGGAAGCTAAGATACAGTTTGGTGTACTGTCTTGGGGGAGTGGGCAGGGAAAAGGAGGGGAAGTTACCTACAGGCAACAATTCCCAAAAGAGTCTGGAAGCACCATATTTCTCCCGGGATTCTTCTCCATAAGCTTACAATACAGCTTGCTAAAGATGTATAATCGAAAATGCATTAAGAGATCAGTAACAGGGGCCCACAGCTGAGCTTGGCACACTGGGTAAAATTCTGAACTCAGCCTCACAGGGAAACAAAAATAACACATTGGCCCTTAGCAGTGTACACTGCTGCACTTACATGAGATAAATCTGGGCCCTGATCCTGCAGAAACATTATCTTAGTCTAAGTCAATACGACTATACCCAACATATAAGGACATGCAGTATGTCTTTCCTGGACTGGTGTCCCCTTCATGGCCAGAGAACGGCTTCCTATAGCTGTATCAACAGTAAAAACTCACAGATCATGTCCCAACTTCCCTCTTTAAGCCCAGACCAGGTTGGCCTCACATTCCCTCACTCCTATAGACAGCTGGGAAGAGGGCCCAGCCTAGACTGTCCTGTCAGTCACATGCTGGGAGAGCCTGTTGGCACAGGACAACATCATGCCAGAAATGGCAGCAGCATTAAACTAATGGACAACAGTGTTCCTGGGCTCAGGTCTGAGCTGTGGCCCTCCACACTTATAAACACAGTGCCAGATTTGGCTCTAGCTGATGGAATCCAAGGCTTGCACTGCATGTGCAAGGTGCCAATTCAGACTTCCTGCACCTTGAGTATATGAAGAGCACAGAAACCATTGTGACTCATGTTTTTTGACAAATTTAAGGTTCCCCTCAGCTGACATCATGCTCTGTTAATTCACAGTTAATACATTTTAAGAGCCTTCTAGTCAGAGGAATAACTGCTATAGCAATACTCAAAGATTCCTGCTCCAATAAAGTAAAACATCATGTTTTACCTTAATTCCAGCAAAAAATTCCTTGCTCTCAACTGAAGAGCTTTGTATATCTGGCTTCTCCATGAAAAAAGCAGAACTGCTACAGTAGACCTGTAGGGCAAAACCAGCATAATAGGAAACATTTGTGGTATGAAGTGGTCAGATAAAGACAAAACCCAGCCACCGTGGGTCAATGGATCCATCAGAGCCAGTCGTCTGGTTGCACCAGAAATTACCAGTTGCCAGTGGTAATCGGTAAATATAGCATAGAAAAAAAATAGAAACAGATCAAGCTACTTAAGACCTTTTCCTGGCATACACTACCAGTGGCGCAGAGACTTCTTGAACTAAAAGCTGCATATAAATCATCCTATTTAACGAACAGGATGTCTCTGTCTCCAAGTCTGACATTTATCGCATCTAGTTCTAGAAGTAAGAAGGTATGAACTGCTATTTCATGAGTAAGTTCTTCTTTGATACCTTCAGGAGAAAGTCTTGATTAAAGTCTCCTCAGATTTAAAAAGCCTTTTCTGGAGCATTTCTGCAATCCATGACATCTTGCAAAAATGCATTCTACAGTCGATCACATGTTATTTACTTCTTTTTTTTCCATTTCACATTTCTTGCCCTTTAATTTTGTTTAGTGCCCATTAAGTCTCAGATTATGCTTTTTTGATATTACGGGCCTGGATAATCTTTTTCAAGATGATGAATTCACTGTGATTTCCCTCCACTGAACCAGTTCCCTCCTACTAGACACTGTGGTTTTGCTTTGGTTTTGTGTTTGGCTTTTTTGTTTGTTTGTTTATTTGTTTGTTGTTTGTTGTTGTTTTGGTTTGGTTTGGGGTTTTGTTTGTTTGTTTTTAATTTTGTATCCATTTTGTATCTTTAATTTGTATCCATTTTGAGATACGGTGGCCACACATGCAGTATTTCCATTCCCCAAAAAAACTGCAGATTCATAGCAGCAGCAGGTAACTTATGACTGTGCCTTTCCTTTTGACTGTTACTGAAGTCCCTGAATGATTTTTGAGGATTAACAATTGCTATTATTGTGCATAAGCCATCCAAGCAGCCTGTCTTTGGCTTGAACATACACATGCACACCAACCACGTTTTTTTGTTTTTATTTTGGCCAGGAAAAATAACCTGTATTTTGTATATATATTTATTGATTTTTTCAATGCTTAAGCTTCTCCAAGTTACTATGAAAGCCTATGTCTTGATTCTGCTACCATGGAACATAAGGCAGGTTCTCACACTGCTTAATTTCTGATGGCAGAAATTAAACCATTTAAATCCAATCCTAGAGACAAAACCATTAAGCAGCAACTCATTATTGATTTAGAGAAAAAAATCTATCTAATGAATCGACAACACAGTTTCCCACAACCTCTGGCTCTCTTACAGCCTGTCATTGAGATGCAGTTGCTTCCAAAAATCCTCCTTATTTACAGTATCAAAGAAAAATCACAGTACAGGGTGAAGAGGATGCAACATGAATAAAAACTAACCTCCTGGATGCACACTACACTGTAATGAGACAGTCTCAAAACCTTAAAGGCAGTGGTAATTACTGATATATTCTGTGGTATTTACACATTCATATGGGTACAGTCGGTGTAGACAAGTAGAGGCAGTAGACTTCTGCCAGAAAAAATTATACAGCACAGTGTTGGACCTCCCTCTGACAACTTCTAGTGTCTACTGGGCCACATTCACAAAGATACAAAGAAATTATAATTAAGTTTTAACATACTCTGTCTCCAAGTCTGACGTTTATCCCATCTAGTTCTAGAAGCGAGAAGGTATGAACTGCGGTTTCGTGTGTAAGTTCTTCTTTGATACCTTCAGGAGAAAGTCTTGACCAGGTTACAATGAATCCAACAGAGCTGTTTGCAGAAGGAACACCAAAGGTACACCTTAAGTAAATGCTGCCTTTGATCATCTCTGCTACAACTTCAGGAACAGATGGCAGTGGTGGTGACACATGTGGAGCTGATGTAGCAGCCAGGTTACCTAGTTCAAACAGAAGTGTGGTTTGTGCTTTTCATACAGTGCAAAATCAGTATTGGATAAATTGACACTGACATACCTTTTGCCAGTTAATAGACTAATAATATCTACCTTTTTCATATGTGGAAATATTACATAATTTCATAAGAGAATCAAGAAAAATGTGTATCTTCCTTTTATTAACTGTTAAATGAAGAAAAACTCTTTATGAACCTTTGATTATATTCTAGCCAATAGGAAGGTGCTAAAGAGAGGGGGAAAATTTAAAAAAAAAGACAAACCAAAAACATAAACAAGGGAATCAAATATAATGAATTATTTTACCAGATAGAAGTGAGCAACATGCAAAAGAATTTGCCTTACAGTAGAATAATTTCACTACTTATGAAGAAAGTGGGAAAAAAAAAAAGAATAAAGGAAAAAGAAAAGGAAAATTTATAAAAGAACAGAATAAGCAACTGTAGATCTGCAGATTCCTCTTATATTTTACTTCCAAAGAATCAAAGTATCTGTAAATCAGCATTAGTGCAATTACTTTTTAACGCTTTGGTACTTACTCAAAACAGTATTCTGAGAAAGCATTTTTGTAATCCAGATTTTTCTGAAATTACTTCCAAATTGCTCATTTTGAACAAGCCAAGCAATACTTGTTGATAACATGAACATGTTTTTATTCAAGACAGAGTATGACTAAATGTTGACATTATTGGGTCACAGATGTATGGAAAATCTTGAAAATCAAAACAAAATACTCACTGCTGCAGGCACCTTGAACTTCCATTCCCTCAGGATCACACGTCTGTGGCTTTGCATCTGAAATAAGCATAAACTGTTCTTACATTTTATATTCACACACATACAGCGTTATGTGCTCTGGTGCTCTTAAAGTATTACCCTATATTAAAAATACACCAAATTTCAGAAAACACTAATTGAAGTGCAAATTTGCAGAAGAGAGGCAGTCTTGTAATCTGATCCATATATAACTATGGCAGCAGTCAGTATAAAGGCTTGTGTTGGAAATCACCTTGGAGGGAAGGAGGGTAGAGAACATTCTACCACCTCTGCATCTTTTACTACTGATGTATTCAGCCAATACTTATAGATGTTATTACTGAATAAAAAGGAATTAAACTATTCTCTTGAATATATATTTTCCCTCCCCAAATCCACATCTGAACACTTATTCATTAACTGCAATCCTGGACAGCCAAATTCAGTGCAGATCTGCTTTGAAAAAAAAATCCCCTTTCCTACAAAAGCCTAAGAAAAAGTGCTTTTGCACTGCTATTGTTTTGTACTTTGAATGTTATAAAAAAATAAGTGGAACTTTGCATTTGTAATAGGAGCACAAAGTGGTTAATCACTCCACTCAAACTACATAAGAAGGGCAGCAACAACACTGAAAACTCCTTTCACCAAAAAGAATGAAGACTTCGCTGTTCCACACTTCACAATTAAATGTTTGAATTCCTTATCATGTAGAGGACAGTCTGTTCGAAAATTTGCATCAAGTGTTTACAGCTATCAAGTGTGAAAGAGAAAACACAGTACACATGGTAACCTAGATACAAAAAGTAGCACATCAGTACAGCACACTTCATGCAAAAAACATCATCTTAAATGAGTGCTTGTGAACTCAAAACGTGTTTCAGATTTACAGTATTCAGCAGAGCCAAATAAGAGTTATGCTTTTTGCCTCCTTTTTTTTTTGAGACAGTAAAGATTTGCTAGCTTATTGCCTCTCTGGTTTTATATCTTCCTTCCTCTTCACAAGCCCTGAGCCAAAGTAAATGCAAGTCCTACTGTGCAGGAATTTTTCACTGTTTCAGTCACATGCATGCTGAAACCTCAGAGAATGCTTTAACAATTGGACCTAAAGATATAATGTCATATAATGCCATAATAATGGCCTAGGCCACTAAGGCACCAGAAAGCCCACTGGCAGATTTGCTGTTAAGCTTCTGAAAGCAGTCAGTAATAGAGATTATGACTCAGAGAACTACAGTATACGATGCATAAAAATATCACTAGCATTTTTACTATGGTACATTATAAGAACTAGTAAGAACTTCCTACTGCATTAGTTTGTCCCTATTTCACAGTATTTCACAGTATAACTGTAAGGATATAACCATGCCTTACTTATCTGAAAAAATCTGGCAGGAATATTGAAATACCAAAGTTTTGAGCTGTGAACACCAAAACACTTCTGCAGCACAAAGATCCAAGACAACACAAGACATTGCAAAAAGTCTCCATTTCTTTCTCAAACTACTAATAAAATGTGCATCAGTAAAGCATTTCTGTGTTATCTTCTAGCAACAAAGTGTAAGCTCTCCCAGAAAGATGATAAAAGAGTTACAGTAACAAAAGTATTCCCAACAATGCTAAACAGTAGATATAAACACAGTTTAGTCAAGTTCTTAGGCAAAGCTCACTTTGATACATAATTCTATGCATGCTCAGTAATGGGCATTTGCAGAGTATGAATGCCGCTGTAGGTACGGTGACTTAAAACCCTATTTCATTATATGGAAAATTTCAATCCTTAAGTTTTTGAGCTTTGAACAATAGTTGAGCGCTACATGTAATTTAAAAAGGGTTGAACTGAAGCCACCTTACCATTTTAAATCGTTCTTCTATTGTATCAATAGTAAAGGTACGAACTGCAAGAAATTTTAGCACAACTATTTTCTGACATTTCCACTAAGCTAAGTATCACAAAAACACACACACTTAGCTGAATTAGAGCATGCATTTTCTCACCTTCTGCACAATAACCCATGCATCCTTGGGTGGGCTGCAGTAAGTAAACAAAGAAATCTCCACAGTTCCTCACCCTGACAGGGATTCGGAAAAGACAGCAGTCTTTTGAAGTGCTGAAGAAAAACTGCCATGTAGCACAAGCTGTTAACTGTTTGATCTCACCAGGTCGAGGCATGGATTCTGACTCCCTCAGAGACAGCCAGATAGGCGCTTGAGTCCCACAGTGATTCATCTTCACCATCAGAAAAAAAGAAAAGAAAATGGTTAATGCTAAATCAAACTGTGTTTTAATGAGCGGTACATATTAATTAATTACCTGCATGAGCTTTTAACAAAGTTTAGACAGTGTAAAAGAGGGCTTTCGGACTTTCCTCCTCAAGGTTGAATAAAAACATATATAAAAGAGACTGAAGTCCTTAATTGAGTCTAATGAATTTGTTTTTTTAAAGACAGACTATAATTTATTACCTGAAGAACTTAACTGGGAGCCCCAACTGAGTGTTTTGCCCAAGAAAGATCACAGTTGTGTTATGGCTTAGTGAGCTACTCTGCACCCATTAACCTGCAGTAACTGACTGTGTGAATGCTATCAGAGCACAGCAAATACAAGGCAGAACATATGCACACTGAATATCAGCTACACTGAATATAACACCCTTTGCCACAAATTGAAGACTCTGCTAACCTCCTGGATTTCCTCTAAAAGATGTGGCCAACTAATGGCAAGGTTACTGATATACAGCCTGAGTCAAAAATGCAAGACAACTGAAAAGCCCCATCTCTCTTTCAATTCCTCATCTTTAGATGCAAATACGCTTGTTGCAACCCCATAACAATCACAGTGACTTTGCAGTAACCCTAAATCCTTTGCTGTTTACAAAGGAGGACCGTGGTCTGTAGTTCAGATGCTGATTCAACAGGTCATTTTAGCAGATTATTGCTCCTTCTCTTGCAAGCAAAAGCCTTGTTCAGTGCTTTTCTTCATGGAGTAAGAAGTCTGCAGTGGAAAACTCTCCCTCATCCCTCACCACTATGGCTATGTCAGGTCTTCAGGTCAAGGAAGCTGCCTTGAAAGTCACAACTTCACAGTAGTACCAACCATGGTAACCAAAGTCTGACTTAACAGACACAAGAGTTTACCAGTGGAATGTAGAAAAATGAATCCTGAAGAGGCAAAGAAGGAATCTGGTTCGTGGGTTACCAGAATGAGTTAAAGATCAGCTCCTGGCTTTCATGTGCAGCTGGAAGCAAACTGAAGAGAAACAACTAGGGGGACATAGCATATTAAAGCCAGCATTTGAAAAACATTTACATGAAAACTATAAATCTGAAACTGTGAGATTTTGAGAACCTTTTCTTGAGTCTTTGCCTCAGGTATTCTTTTCTTTGACCTGATAGTGCAACAAGATCAACTTGTCTTTAGATATCTTGGTATAAAGTCTACTGCAGACTCACTGAGCAATTACTTACCTCTAAATTACGTTTTTTCTTTCTTAATCTATAATCTCTGAACCCACCATCAATCCATCAGAAAGACAAAACTAATAACAAGTACTCAGAAATGGGATGGATTGTTTAAGTCTGAATCTTTGACAAAGATTAAATACAGCTATAATAAAAGTTCCCCAAAAGAAAACAAAGGAGGAAACTTCCTCAACAAGACATCCATTTTAGTTTGGTTTTAATGTTTTGACTCTGAGATTCAAAATAAATGTCGTGGTTTTGTCAACAGATGCAAAAAGGAAGATTTCAATGCATAAATTTAATTTGTTGAATAAGCTTTGAATCACTTTCCAACTGCAATTATCTGAGCTCCTCTGTGTTAGGAGGGCAGCCTATTTTTAAGAATATTTACTAAGAACTGAGAACTTAGTCAAATTTCTAAAACCTACCTAAATGAGATGAGTAGGTATTTTGTCTAACTTCTATTCTGAAAAACGCATTGTTTTTTCGCCTGGTTTATCATGCTGATTCATTGCATAGAAGAATCAATTTTTGAGAAAATACAACCAGTTAATTAACTTTTTTTTTATATATATATTAAATATAACTGAAAGTCCTTCAGTATTCAGTAATCATACTTTTTTTTTTTTTAGTATAAAATCTGGATAACAAGTAGCCTCTTCAGCACATCCCTCTTAGTTTTTGAGTCAGCTGCACAATAAAGGTACTTCAGTGGCTTTATACAGCTGCGAAGTTTTAATAAATAAATAAAAATAAGACAGGCTGCTATAAAAATTTAATTCATTAGTATACTTTAACTGTTTTATATTCCTTTAGAAGCACTTCATTGGTGGGATTTTATTTTAATTTTTTTAAGAGACTGTGACTAGGAAACTTCAATTCTTTAGAAAAATCAAGGGTAAAATATTCTGATGACATTCTTAGACTTTTAAACAAGGAAATGTTTTAAAATAGGAAACTACAAAGACAAATCTTCTTAGAATTTAACTGAGGTTTTTTGCATGCTGCAAAATAAAGAATTACACATCTAAAGTATTAAATATTTCAAGTAGTTCTTGAGTCTTTGGGGGCTTGCAGATGACAAGGTAACTCATCCTCAGTTAGCCCTGTTAGTTCAAGTCACTTTACGAGTTATCCCTTCTCTCTGGCATGATCACTTTAAAAGCTCCACAATTACTGGATTCATGTGGCTTCAAGTCTTTATTCTGCTTTCACATGGCTTTGCTAACAGACTGACCATCACATAGTTGCAGCTTTACAACATGATATCCCTGCTACGCTGCCACTGAGAAAATCTTTAGCACTGACTACAAATTACAGCTTTTGAGTGCTCTGGAAGGGATTTAATTTATCATCCTCTGCTACTGTCCATTCAGTGTAAAATTTTCAATGCTTAAGACTTAATTTTCAAGGTAATACATTTTATTATAATCAAGTATTTAGAAAAGATAGGTACTTTGTATTTTTCCACATCAGTCTCCATAAACATATTCTTTTTTTTTTTATACCTGTCCTACTGAAAAATTCTTCAGCAAAAAAAGTTACTTCTCAGAATCAAATGATTCGTAGCAATACCTCCACGCACTTGGTTGGCATCTCAGCAGGCTTATCAAAAATCATAAAGCGGTACCATCCTGGTGTTAGGGAATGGTCACAGATCAAATCCTGAATAGCTGATTGCTGGAGATGGGATGAATCAAAATCAACGCTTCGGTAAGGACTCTGCAGGATCTGATGTCCAGCAGGAGAGCACTCAAGAACTGTGGAGCAAGAGTATTTCGAGTATCAAGACAGAATGCCTAACAAATATTTTTAAAAACGTTAAGTATTTTTAAGGGAAAATAAGGATATATCACAATATGATTGAAACTAGTTTTACAGAAAAAAGTATTGAAGTCTTAGTAACAACAAATTCACGTTAGCTCTCTGAAATGTAATAGAATTCATCATGTGATAACTTTCCTTTTTTCTTTTTTTTTTTTTTTTTTTTTTTTTTTTTTTTTGTGGGCAATACATGCAAATTAATAACCATTTACCCAAGATGTAAAAACAGACAGAAGGAATATGTTTATACAGTCTATCTAGATTTTGACTTTCTGGTTCCACTGATGTTTATTAAATTTAAAAATCTGAATATAAATGGGGTGTTAGATATATTAGAAGACCAAAATCTTACCTGAAGAGAAGTAAGGATTATCCAAATAGGCTATCATTTTACAGGATTCCAATGCATGAAATTAAGAATTCGCTCAAACGAATGAGAGGTAGTTGGATGGTTGCATACAGTTTGTATGTGTACATGCAGATTATAGCAAAAGTGTGTATGATCATGGGTAGACACACTAAATTATAATAAAGTAAATACAACACAAAAACTTAGTTTTGGACATCTAAGTGAACTCGTGGCCTCAAAGAATATCTCAAATTTTCTGATAGGTAAAATGAAGGATCAGAATCCAAAGAAGTCTTTATGATAGTTTTTTTTAAAATGCAGACTCATTCAGAAATAAAGCAGAATGCCAGTATTTCTGAGTCTGATCTGACCGCTGAGTTGGCTCCTGTCAATGACAGTGACAACAGAAGTTCTGACTAATGGTATATTTACATGCAATGTACTGAACAACCATTCTTCCTCAGGAATGTGCTTGGGAAGTGAAAGTAGAAAAAAAATAAAGGAGAAGAATGTTTATAAATAAATTACACTTGAAGTATACCTATCTAAGTACTTTGCTTTTAAAAATGGATACCAACTGATGCTGACTGTGAACAGAATTTCAGGTTATACTGAATGACACAGTGATTCTTTATTCTTGCTTTCACTATGCTGCTAATGAATTTTAAAATGCAGCTGTAAGCAAAGTTCTCTAATGTTATATTTTTAATAGAAATGTTCTGATCTTTAGTTTTTGGTCCTGTGTTTGTCTGTATTTGTTGCATATTTTCCATGGTATAATTGTGTCACTGATTACAAACATACTTTGGTTCAAATCATGCAATAATGTAAAATCTTCTACATTTTTTTGTCATTGTCTAGATAACCACAACTATAAAACAGTTTCCAAATCAAGTAATTCCCTGCCTTTAAATGGAGAAGAAGCCTTAGTGAAAGAACAGACTTCATCTCTTTTAGCACACAGCATGAGAATCCTGTAGTCTTTCAAAGACTGAAGATTTAATCCAGTATGGCTTTAGGCTACCCAGGCAGGTGACAATAGCTTTATCTTCTAGCTTCTAAGGGCAGCTGGAAGTCGGTGTGATTGACTGTGCCACCACTGTGCTTCTGAGTTGCTCGTAGCAGCCTGTAGGCTATTCGTGTCCATACAATTTGACCTTACAGACAACTTACCCTCCACTGGAATTTAAAGAAAAGCCCTTGAAGAATCACAGGTCAGTCATGTGTGTTATTAAAATGTTTTCCAAGTAAGCTACAGCACAAGCAGTTTACGAACCATGGTGAAAGTTTCTTCCTGTCCTCTATTTTTTATTGGAATTCTTCCTTTCATACAACACCCTCATTAGTTTCCTTTCCTGTAACTGAGCCACTCCTGAAACAATTAATATCTGTTACCTTCCCCATTAATAAATCAAGCTAGACATGAGACAAGTCTTTATTTTCTTTTCCTCCACAGTTTAATTAGATCATCATTTGATAGATCTTTAAAGCAGCTGACTGTACTCACTTGTAATAGGGTTATAAATCCTACTAAAGATCAAATTATAAGTTATGCATATCACTTTAAAATGTCATCCAGTTCTTTGTGTATTCTTTCTTCCTTTCTAGAAGTATGCTAATATTTCCACAGTTATTGTATGGAAACTTTAGAGTTGCGTAATACTGGCTTATCTTTTTTTCTCTTTTCCTTTCCTTACCCATTCTGCAAAACAACTGAAAATAATTACCATCACCAAGAACACAAAAATTACTTTTTTACACATCTGAGTTTAACTGAAATGCTGTCTGACTCCAGCAACAGCAGAAACAAATAATACTATCATATTTATGGATAGATAAGGACAACAAATGAATGCCATGTTCTCTGTGAAAGTCACTCCTGAGGACCAAATCTGCTCAAACCACAGGCATTTAAGAGGGGGGGTGGCTAAATTTTTTACTGAAGTCACAATTTACTTTTTCAGGATGCATTAAATAAAAATAAATTTTGGTATAAACATTCTTTAAAACATTATTCACAGAACAATGAATACTGATTTTGCTTTAGTGCTCCAGAAAAGCTCTGCCTGTGTCTAACACCCAGCAATTTTACAGAATCATAGAATGGTTTGCATTGGAAGGGACCTTATAGATAATGTGGTTCCAATCCCTCTGCCATGGGTAGGGATACCTTCCACTAGACCAGGTTGCTCAGAGCTCCATCCAACCTGGTCTTGAACACATCCAGGGATGGGACAGCTGCAGCTTCTCTAGGCAACCTGTTCCAGTGTCTCATCAACCCCATTGCAGAAAATTCTTTCTAATATCTAATCTAAATCTACTCTCTTTCCATTTGAAACCATCACTCCCTGTCCTGTCACTACACGCTCTTGCGAATAGTCTCTCTCCAATGAGTCGCTCCCCAATGAGTAAAGTCTGACAAAATTATAAGGAACTGAAAACAGTGTCTGAGAGCTGTAAAGTGCTAAGGAAGGTTACCTACAGGGCAGGCTTACCTACCAGCTCTGCGTAGTATTTAAGAACATTAAAGTACAGGAAGACGTATGCGCTACTGTTGTCTGGAATTCACCCACAATCAGGAAATATTCTAAGATGTTCTGACACAAAATGGAAAACTCATGTAAGTTTTAACAAAATTTAGCATTTAATCAAGATTAACCTTAATGGAAATCTTTCCATGTATATGGGAATATTCTTTTTATTTCTCTTTGGACCTTTAAACATACTTGTGATTTAGTAACTTTAATTTAAAATATTTGCCATAGAAAAATGGAATTCTAATTATGAAACACACAAATGAATACTTAAGAACTGAGACCATGAAATTTAAGCTTCTTTGCATATTGTGCACCTCTGGTTTAACTTAATTCAAAGGAGGTACACACAATAGGATACATGTGATGAGGAGAGACATATTTCTAGGAAGTCAAACTCCCTTTTCTGTTTCGAGGTCCAGATACTACATACTGTCCACTGAAAAGGCAATCCATCCTGGGAATATATGTAGCTGTTTCCCTAGAATATTCTATCATACTCTGTGCTTCTTTCCACAGACCCTCAATATACTGCATATGGGTATCTACTGTTCTTCAGCTCAAGTCTCTGCATGCCAGGAAGAATTTGATTCCATATTTGCTTTTTCCTGGATGTCTTCAGAATTAATACAGTGAGCTTTGCCGGGATCCATCACAGACCTTCTTGGTCCTGCCGGATATTGAGTAATGTGACCCTAGGCTGCAACATTCTAAAGACAAGGATAGTATTGTGCCACTGGATGAGCCTATTGGGAGAGATGTAGATGAAAGCTTTACCAACACATCAGGGTCTGTACCATGACTGACATAAACTGGGGTACTTAATAGATACTCTGAATACCACACCTTAACCAAAAGTCAAAGAGGTTTCTAAAATTAACAAAGAGATATTTAAGGCTCCTGATGACTGCCTCTGAGGCACTCAGGCAGAAAATGAGTTCCACAAAGGAGGGGCTTTTCAACTCCCTGTTCATATCTCTGTTTCATCCATGTGCAAAGAGGGCTCAATGATTTTCCACCTGTCCATAATGTTTCCAGCATGATGGAACAGTTAATAACTGAGAAACAATGAATGCAAACCAGAGCAGAGAAGGGAAAAAGAGCCACAGCAGAGTACAGATAGACAAGGGGAGAGTGGCAGGACTGGCAACTCATTTCCTCTGATACAAATTGCTTATTAGTTTATATCTCCTGCTGTCCAAAGGTCAGGGTCTGGCAAGTGGCCACAGTTAAACAGCATCTTTCGTAAGTGCCCATTCTGATCATGAATGTGCCTTTTCTTGCAACCATTGACTTCAAAGGATGCAGCATATCAACAATACAAGGCAGAAATTAAAACTAGGACTGCATTTAATAAAAGTACTTAGATGTATTTGTGGATTTAAACTTTTACAAAATACTAAAATAAAAAGAAGTTCACTTCTTGGAAGTTATCCTGAAAAAACTATTTAGAGAACGCTTTTAAAGCAAAATATAAAAATTACTGTAACTACCTAAAAGATACCATTTCCTTGGATGAGACCTAAATGAGAATGTGAGCAAAAATGTTGTAGCAATGACAGTATTGCAATCCCACTGAACAGGAATATGACTATTCCTATGCACAGAACAATGAAGAAAATCAAATCAACACGAACACATTAATACATCTTATATAAATAACCTTGTTTGATTTGGCGTTAAAAACACTTTTCAACCACTCATGTCCACACCCTCAGGAGTGTTTTGCAAAGGTAGTAAATAATTGCATAACCTTTATAAAAATGTAAAATATACGTTTATAGAACGTTTTGTAGTCGTTTTCAATGTAATACACTATTGCATCTACCCTCTATGTGGATTTTCTGTCCGAAATTGGAAACAATACAGACATGGGGTTTGAAGAAGTCCCAGGTAAGGATGTGCCAACGCACTGCCTGTGCTCCAGCACGGAGGACAAGAGCGCTGTGAAGAGAGAGTGGGAGAACCAGCACCCCTGGTCCTCGAGTTTCCCTCGGCAGATCTTCCCCGCAAGTGCGCTACGACAAGGACAGTTCCTACTCTTGTTG